CATCTCAAGCCTTCAAAAAAAAAAGAACGATAAAAACAAATTTTTGTTGAAGAATTTAATGAACAATATATTACTTTAAAATCTTTTTAAAACGACATATAATTATAGAGCAATATATATTTTATTCTAACTACATGACAATCATGCGTCAGTAACAGGCAAAACGTTGTTATTCTAAAGGAGTACTAGTTGACATAGTTTTCGAGTTAGATATTATTTCGAAAACTAATCATAATCTCTAGAGATTATTTTATGACAATAAAAAAAAAATAAAATAAAATAACATCACTATTGAGAGTTAAGCTGTTAGAAAGTGTATTATTTTTTTTCTGTATGTAGAAGCTGGAAAATCTATTACGTTTACAGCGAAGATCGTTGAAAAAAAAGGAGAAAATTATGTAAAGGTCATGTTGAATACTTTCATACATCATCCATTCATATATGAATGTTTTTTTTGGTAAACATAAGTCATCTATTGGATTGTGTTTGGTAGAAGACCATTTTTAAAAAATCCAATATTTGTTTATTTAGATTATTTTTCAATAAATACGACAAAATATTTCTATTTAATGAACGTTATAAACCACAAAAAAACTGTTTGATATAAAAGTTGAGATCAAAATTATATTATGTTAGGGTGAAACAGTAGAATATTCACGAAAAAAACGTATGTCTAAGAAAATAATTCAATAATTTATGTTTTAAGCTAATTCATCAAGTTTGTTGCTAATAGTAACGTAAGCAATGTGAATGTTGAGCCTAGATATAAGCGAGAGTGTTTGTTTTTGATCCTGATAGAATCGGGATTGAAACCATCGTGCTCGTATCTAGCTGAAACTCTTCACTGATTGAAGCCATGCAACTAAACAGAGAGCTCAGCCAAGTTCAACCTTCAAATCCCCACTATCAAAACCCTGGTTATACCTTCAGACACTAATATTATTTCTAAATTCTTATCATTATTATGAAGAGTTCTTGTGACTTCGTAGATGTTGCTTATGTACAGTAATTTAAAAACAAACGAGAAAAAAAAAGACAAATGTTTGGTAAATGTTAATGCACTAAAAGTTTAAAATGATTTTACACATATGACTATGAGTTTTTGATCTTTCAATTCACGTGAACTTTTTGAAAATCCATGAATTATCATATGGAATTTAAGTTCAATAAAACAATTTGAATGAATGAACGAATGTTCTATCTATTTGTTTATATAATTGTAATATTTATTATAGTTTCGCTTCATTGATCGAATGTATTTATTTTAGATGGATAAAAATATACTTCGTTCACGTCAAAAAGTAGCAAGTAAAAGTGATGACAAAACTTCCGATCAAGAAAAAGAAAAGATGTTAATAAAAAATCGAAAACAAACTGCTGAAAATTATGATTTTGGTGATATACAATAAGTTCTATCTAATATTGAAAATATTATGGAGAAAAATTTTGTTACGTATATTTATTTGGGAATTATATTTTGGTAAGACAAATTTTTAATGATGATGATTATTTTAAGAGAATAATTATTTGTTCTTGTATAGAATATATTTTTTGGACAAGTTTTTTTGCCATTGGTCCAATGGTTATGTTTTTTCCCATGGTGAAATTAGTTATTCATGGTTATGAAGTATTAATACTTAGTTTACCAAGTCCAATTATAGTTTGCCCTTCATTAGTGAATAATATTCCACAACGTTAGTTTTGTTTCTTTTGTTGAATCTTTCGAAATGAAATTGTTCTTTGTTTTTTTTTTCCTATAGAGTACTGTTGGAAAATTAATTATTAGTTTATTATCATTTCAATTAGAAGATCCTCTATTACGATTATTAATACTTTCATGTGGTACTTGTGCTGTTATGATTGATCTTTGTACAAATCTTAATTCATGATATTATTCATATAGGTAACTATTTTTAATTGAATTTTAAACATTAGAGAATAATTTATTATTTTTTCATATTTAGATCAATTGTTGTTTGGACATTGACAAATTGTTTTTTTTTTCTTTCTTAGTCTTCGTATTTGTTTTTTAAGTTATATACCAGCGTGGTCGAGTGTGATGGCAACATTTAATAGATTTTCTCATTGAACATTGGAACAATCATTGATCAATTTGGAAGAGGTAGGAACAAAAATTTATTCGACAATATCTAATTAGATGAAATCGATAGAATGACAAATTTATTTGAAATAGTTGACTTAAACCATTAGTATTATTATTAATCAACTTTCAGTTAAGATTTATTCTTCAACATGTAGAGATGTCTATGAGAGTGCTGGCATCACAGTGGCACTTTTTTTAAAAACTACTGCGGCGCGTCACCGACAGATTTCCAATCTTGATGAATATCTTTGATACATAGAATGTTTCATAGATTCTAAACCTCGACGAAAATTTATTGATATAGAGACATGAAATGATTTCTAACGGAATAGATCTATATTGATTTAATAGGCATGTAAGTTCAGAAAACATTGACTTTTACTTGATGCATTTTAGTTTTGTTGTAGACAATAGGTGAGGATAGAAAATCTTATATCGAAAGTTTTTTCTGAAGATACCTAGATTTTTCAAAAACAATCGATTAACTTTTCATTAGCAATTTGTTTATGAAGAATTAATTATTAATTAATAAATTAAAATTGATTTTTTGTTGTTGTTCCATAGACAATCCTATGTGTCAATTACTCCCATCAATATCATTTTATTTATCTTCAACAAAATCTACACTTGGTATGTTATCTTATTTCTTTTTTTCTTTTTCATTTGTCTTAATTGAATGAATGAAAGCTTTTTTTTTTTATTACATCGTTTTGTTTTGTTCTATTTTTAGGAATCAATCCATTACGTTCAGCATCATGTGAAAATATTTTACAACCAAATTGGTTATTAGTTGCTATTGGATTTGCTAGTTTATTATTTAATCTTCAATGGGTATTTGGTGATCTATCAGTTGTTAGTCGATGGGCTTCGAATGGTTTTCCAAATCAACCACTCGATCCAATACCTTATGGTTAAAGGAGAAGATATTTGTTATTTTCTAACTAAAAAGGAGATCATCTTTTTCTTTTTTTCGTTTTGAAGTCTTCTCATATGGTTTGGTTTATTTTGTGGTATTGTAATAATCAATCATCTTAGTATAGTAACAAATCGATGGTGGATATCAGTAGGTTTTCTTGCTTCTGGTTTGTTATATTTCAGTCGTGGAAATGTTTCATTTATGAGTAAATGAAAAATTTTATTTTATGTATTTGATTAGTTTTTTTTTCGAATTTTTTCAAAAAAGGTGCTTTTGCTCTAAGTATATTTATTGGATCAATACTTTCATTATTATTTGATAAAATAGCTCGTGCTCTTTCAGCACATATTGTTTTTATTGCTACTTTTCCATATATTATTCAAGTTATTTATGCTGTTTGGACAAGTGCTTAGAATTTTGTTCCGTTTGGTGGAACATAAACACGAGAAACATCTCATATTTTAGTATTCTTTTATTTTCTTGGCATTTATTTTCAAGTTTATACTGCTCGTAAGAAAATTTCAACGAATATTTTATTGTTATAAATAAATATAAACTATGTATTTAGAACATAATTTAGGAACGCTATATACGTGCTCGTATCTCGTCAATAAAGTTATCAAATCGTCAAATTTGGTCAGGTGAGAATTAGTGACGTAATTCAACCGTAGGTGTGGAGAGGGAGGGAGCTCACAACGAAGGTCTCTTAACTGATAAAATGCTTTTGAGTTAAGACTACGTGCATTATATAGAATAAAATGAACTTTGAATACTCTGAAAGTAGTTCAGGCCATAGATTATTGTTGCGGACATACTGGAGATTTATCGTAGTTTTTAAATGAATGCCATGGTACCTCTCAGAACTCTGTTGTTGCCTTTTAAATACCATTCTATTGGAACGTAGATGACATTGTAATCCAAATACACTTCGGCAGAGATTTAAATTGTTTATTTATATCATAGTTTATAAATAATCACAATAAAGACCTTTTAAATTAATAGAATCACATGACATAATGATGAGAGTGAGAGTGTTGATGAGGGCGAAGCCTCTGTTCTATCTACAGCTCGCACTCATACCCACATCCTATTATCATCAAGCGTTGCCCTTGTTGTACTGAAAGAAGATTTTGATAGTAGAAGACGTTTTTTCGGAGGACCATTTCTACCGAGAACATTTTTGTAAAGGACGTGTTGTTCTCTACCGTGACAACATCGACATATCTCTCCTCTCTCATGGTTATCCTTATACTTCTCTCTTGGTTGTGTATATAAACGTGTGTTCTCTGTGTGAATAATGTGCGAAAGTCGAATGAAGTATAATTCTATTCGCGCTAGTACTTCTTCTATGAAAAATGATCATAAGGAATACTAGAAAAATTGATGTTAGAATTTCGAGTAGAAACTTTGTATAGAGACGGTCTTTAATGGAAATAGTTTCTTATGAACGTTTGACATATTGTTGCTATTGTTTCTATCTTAACCTTGTTAATCTTTCATATAAATAAGTTTATTAAGAAAGTGTTATTTTTTCTATTTGTTGATCATGTAAATGAAATAAATATTTAAGTAAATGTGGTTGTCGAAGATAAATATCAAGATCATCTGGTGCCATGACGACTACACTGAATACTCACTCAACCTAAATTCAAAATTTTTATATACTAAAATTATGTAGAACTCTAATTTTTGAGATACAAATCATGGGAACATTGAAGTAATAAAAAGAAAGAGAACCATATGCATGAAATTTTGTCGTTTTCACGAGCGAAGTTCCTAGATCCAACTATTCTACTACGGAAACTGACTAAGGTTGGTAGATATGTACCGAGACTCCATGATCCTAAATTTAGTCATATTTTATAATTTCAGTAAAACTAACTCAAAAATATTAAGGATTTCTGTTCAAGTTCCAAGACTCAAAGATTTAAAAGTTTCTTTTTCAGTGCATATCCAATAAAGAAATACATACTAGCTGATAATAAGACAATATTTCTTACATCTTCTTCTTCTTTTCTAATTCCAAGAATTTCAATAGTTGGTCCACAAAGTTGAGGTGAATCTTGAAGACGATCATTGATACGATTTTGTGGAAAGTTTTAAAAATGTATCTTTTGTATTAATATATAACAAAAAGAGACTATTCACTTCAAGTTGATCTTTTTCCAGAGTTTTTTCATAAAATTTCTCATCATCTTTTGTTTCTATCACATTAATTGGTAAATGAGATGTTGTCATGAAAGAAAGACTCACTAGAACATCATTAGAAATCTTTAAGAAAAGAGAGAATTACTTAACAAAAAAAGACAGAACATTTCATAAACAAACATGTTTAATATCAATTCTTGCAATGTCACCAATTAATATCGTTTGTCCAATATCTAATAAAATATTCATCGGTCGAATATTAGTTCATTGATGGTCAAAATAAAAAGTGAAAGTTTTTTTTGACTACGACATTCATTAATCATCTTCAATGAAGAATGAAATAAAATTAAATAGAAACAAACTTTTTGTTTTCACTTGTTCAGGTAAAATAACTCCTAGTGTATCATAAAACCATTTTTCATTTTTATATCAATCAGGATTAAAAGATTGCATTTTCTTTTGTCGATAATCTATATAATTATATTCACGAAATTCAAATCAACGATCTACATAAAAAGAATTTTCATCAAATGAATATGTATATTGAATAGTAGTTTTTTTGGTAAATTCATTTCAGATTCAAATCAATGTCACCATTTTACTATTGATATAACATTGTCTAAAATTTTATCTTTAACATTTTGTTCATTGAAACAAATAAAACCATACGAATAGTAGTTGTTACATTTCCAATTAAATTACTATTTTCATCAAAAATTTATTCATTTCCCTCTTAGTATTTGAAACGTTCTGCACACATAAATTAATTTTTTCCGGTTCTTAATTGAATTGGATAACGAAGAACATTCATTGTTGTACCTAAATAATACAACAAAAAATAGTTAGGGGTACCTAAAAGTAGTGGTAGTTACATTTTAGTACCGTATAGTAAGCTTGAAAACCTTTCTTTTTATATAGTCTTGAAGAAAAAAGAATGCTCTATTTTACTATGCTATTCGATGATGTTTCAGCTAATATTATAATAATAAAATTTCAATAAGATCTGTTTCGTTATCATATGTGCTGATTGTATAAATATTCATTTTAAAAAAATACGAGTGAGTATTTTTGAATAATTTTTGATAGAAACAAGATAAAGGATTGTGGGTTTCATCATTGGAAAGAGGAAATAAGAACGCATCAAATCGTAAATACCACCTTTTCCTCATTTGTTTTTTCTAAGGTTTTCAACTGATCTTTTTAAGAACAAACTTATCTGGTAAGTTGTTTCAGTGAATTATCAATTATCAACTATAAATTAAAACCATTAATCGAAGATTTACAAAGTGCGAAAGACTGAGGTGAATAATATCTACTCTCTTCAAGCCTCTAATACGATTTTCTAGGAAAATCTTTGAAAAAAGCTCACTTTTATGCTTTTTCCTTTCTTCATTAAGAAAAAAAAAAACATTTTTCCGGCTGTTAGAAAATTGAATAAAAATACTAGAGAAATCAATATTAGACAAATCTATAATACATTATTCGATGCATATTCATCTCCTTTTTGCAACGGTCAAAACTGCACTTCTCTCTATCTTATTCCTATCAAGAGTTATTCAAAAAATACTCACTAACATTCATAGACCCGTGAAACATGAGAACAAAAGAGATCTTGTCGAAATTTTATTATTTTTATATTACGTAGTTGAAATATTATCAAATAGTATAGTAAAATAAAGCATTATTTTCTCTATCATTCTATATAAAAAGAAACCTCTTCAACCTTACTATACGATACTAAAATGTCACTATTGATAATTTTGGATACTCCTAAGTAAATAAAAAATTTCTTAATAAATATTTTTACCAGGAAGATTTAATTCAGTTACACATTGAATATAACCAAGTGCATCAATATGACAAAGATCAGAATCAATAAGACTATTAAATAAACTAGTTTTTTCAGTATTTGTACTAGCAAGTAGATAAACACCATCTATGTAGATTTTTATGAGAAAAGAAAAAAGAAATGAATAAAAAAACAGTAAAGAGAAACCATGCTGTGACCAGTAACGAAATACTTTGAAAATAAGTTCTTCCAGTCCATATTCAGTTCGAGGACTGATTAAACCATAATATTTTAACAATGTCTTTGCCTAAACCACATTTTGTATATTCATTTTGAAGAGATTTACGAACATCAGACAAATAAGATTCACTGTCTAAAATAAAATTATTATTAATTTGAATACATCTCCTATATAATCCTTAACATGTTTTGAAAATAAAGTCAACAATACGTTCTACTAAACTATGTCGGAAATATTCAGCTTTTGTTCATAAAGTAGCTTTCAAACTGTCCGATATTTTTTGCAAATATGCAAAAAGTTTTCTGAACTTCGTTTGTGTAACAACAAGCAAATCTACCTTTTAGTAACAAATCAACTTTATTGACAAGAACAAATATAATATTTGGTGAAGTATTAAA